CCAGCATTTGTCCACTATCCCAGCAGTAATCTCAGGTATTCTGTGAGGATAATCTGGGGAGAAGGGAATAAATGGGGAATTCTTCTTCCTGGACAAGTAGAGTAGCAGTGCTCTCCTACTCAACTCCAGTCATGCCCAGGATTTTTAGAGCAAGGGACAGAGATAACAAGTAGGCAACAATGCTCCAATTTTTTCCTTGCAATGTCAGGAGAAAGTCTGAAGTGGCCCCAGCACTCCATTAGCAAACTTGTGCGAGGACATGGACAAGAGCTATTTAGCATGGGCAGACACAGAGGAGTTTGCAATCTGCATCATAGAAAGGAGCATGCAAATCTATGCAATCAGAGACTCATTTAAGTATGTTAAAATACAAATTATCCAAAGAAGAGAAGTAGTTAGTTGGGAAAAAATTACCTTGTACCAAATATTTCTAAGAATGTATTATCAATGACATAAAAATTTTTCCCAAACTCTTCCTTCTTCCCAACTTCCTCACTACTGTCAAGACCATAACCATCTTCCTAGGCATCCAGGGCCCAATTCCTCATGCCTTCTCAATTCCTCATGCTTACTCACCCCACATATCCAACCTGTTGAGTCTCACCCTTTCTAGTTCCACAACATCTCACATACATATCCTTTCTCTTCTCTAACACAACCACAACTCTAGTTCAGACCTTCATTGCCTCTCACCTGGACTACTGAAATAGCCTTTCTGTTGATCTCCCAGCCTCAAATTGCTTCTTACTCCAAGCCATCCTCCACTCAGCTGTCAATGTGACTTTCCTAAAACATGTCGGACCACATAATCCTCCATTATCAGCAAGCTCTAGTGGCTCCTTACTACATGAAGGATCAAATATAAACTCTTTTTGGTATTTAAAGTTCTTTATAATGTAGCCTTGTCCTAGTTTTCCAGTTTTCTTATACTTTATCCCCTACACATATTCTATAATCCAGCTACATCAGCCTACTTGCAGTTCCTCGCACACAGCATTCCATCTCCTCTCTTTCTCTTTTCACTGGCTATACCCCGTGCCTGGAATGCTCTACCTCTTCACCTTCACCTCCTTCAAAACTCAGTTTCCTTTAAAATTTAGTTCATGTTTCACCTTCTGCAAGAGGAAGTTCTTAGTCTCTCCAAGCTGTTAGTGTCTTCTTCTCTCAGGTTACTTTCCACTTACTCTATATAAATTTTCACATAGCTAATTATTGTTGCTTCCCCGCATCAGAATGTATGCTCCTCAAGGGCAAGACCTGTTTTTGCCTTTCTTTGTATTCCCAAAACTTAGCATAGTGCCTAGCACACACTAAGAGTTTCATAAACATTTGGTGATTGATTGGCTGACATATAGAGAACTGACACAAACACATCAAGACCAAAGCTGTTCCCCAATAGATAAGTGATAAACCAAGATGAATAAACAGTTTCCAAAAGAAGAAAAACAGATTATTAACAACCAAGAATGCTCCAAATCACTAATAATAAAAGAAATGGAAATCAGAACAATTACGAGGCTTCACTTAACTAGTACAGTCTCTTTTATTTAGAATGCCTTCAGGTACGTAATGTGGAGAGGTCTATAGATCACACAGGAAGTTGTTACAAGTAAGGAAATTCTAACATCCAGCTACGCGCAGGCAGAAGTCTCCAGCTTGCTTACATCTAGCATATTGCCAAAGATGTCAAATGATGAGAATACATGCACTCAGTACTGGAGGGGCTGCAGAAAGAAAAGTACACCAATACAGTATTGGTGAAGCAATGAATTAGTCTAATACTTTCACAAATCAATTTAGAACCATGTAAAAATTGACCAAAATGTCTACATTCTTTAACTTTGACCTCTACTATTAGGTATCTAATTCAAAGAGAGAAAATCCCCTACACACCAAAATATTTATATCAGCTTTTTTTTTTGGTAGTCACAAAGAACTAGAAACAGATGCTCACAGACTAGAGAATGATAAAACAAATTTGGCACATGAATATAATACATCATTACTGTACCATAAGAAATAATGAATCTAAAGAATGAAAAGGTATATAAACTGATGCAAAGTGAAGTAAGCAGAATCAGGAAAACAACATAGTCAATGACTAGACCAACATAAATAGAAAGAACAATAACAAAATAAAAATTAAATGCTATGAAATTAAAATGACGAAGCTTAGCTCCAAAGAAAGAAATTTGAGAATGCATTTCGCTCCTTTTTTTGGGATTAGGGAAAACTATGGATATGAAATCTTCATATGATGTTGGAATTGGTTGATGTAATGGTCAGTTTTATTGAATTCTTTCTTCTTTTCTTCATTTTCATTGTAAGACACAGCCCCTGAATGAGGTATATTGGGAAATGAAGGTGATGTAAAAACAAAGAGAATAGTGTGGCATACAAAACAGAGTATTTTGGAGCCAGGAGTAATAATGATAACCACACAGATGACACAGCACTTTAAGGCTTCCAAAGCACTTTACATATGTTATCTCATTTGATCCTTGTAACCCTGTGAGATAGGTGCTATCGTTATCTCCATTTTACAGATAAGGAAACTGAGTCTGAGAAAGGTTAAGTAACTTGCCCAGGGTCATACAACTAGTAAGTGCCTGAGGCAGGATTCAAACTCAGATCTTACTGACTCCACGTTCAGAGGTCTATCAAGGTGACACTGCTTTAATCTCACCCATATGCACATCCTAACTGTGTGACCCTTGACAATTCACTTTGACTCTCAGTGTTCTAGCAACTCTCTAAAGACTAAGTTATAAAGAAGGTGCTGTATCAGTAGAGAGGGTTTCTTCATTCAGTAGGTCCCAATACTAATGAAATCATAGGTCTAATCCCTACCCCTCACCCTACAAAAACAAAGGTTATCAACAAAAACAAAATACCCAACTTATTTGGAATATCAACAGTCTTGCCTTAAACTTTTTTGGGGGGAAGTGAAAGGGAACAAGCATTTATTAAGCACTTACTATGTGCCAGTCACAGTGTTAAGCACTTTACAAATACTATCTCATTCTGGGGATACTGTGGGCCCTAGTGGATCACTGCAAGCATTTTACAGTGTCCCAAATAAAATCTATCCTTCTATTTTTCACTCATTCAACTCTAGACCCAGCTCACTGGCCACGTATAGCACTCCCCAAAATATAAATACTGACAGATTAACTCAATAGGCTACCCACTCAAATCTAGATAGGCAAGAGGAAAACATGGAAGAACTAATTTGGACAAGCCTAGGTGCTCCCCTGGTATCCCTGTAATGTCAAGAGATCTAAAGGAAGGCCTCCCTATACGTAAGATGAATACTCTATAGCGGATTTAAAAAAGGACAGGTATAAGACAAGCAGGGTGACAAGATAAAAATGTACTATGAATCTGCACCATTGAAGGAAGTTATCAATGAGAAAAGGAGAATAATGTAGATGGGGTTTGAGGTGGGGGTTAAAAGAGAAAGGGGACATTCACAGTGAATAACCCCTATTTTTTTTCAGTAATTCTTCATTCTTCCTTTTTTTTTTAAACCTCATTGCTTAACACAGAGTTTGAAACAGTATAAGTGCTTAATAAGTGCTCATTGATTAACATAGGAGGGGCTGGAATTCTATCCTACCTGGTCCAGTAATTGCAAAAGAAGGATGCAGGGCTGGAGTAGGGTACTTGGTCTCGGTGAAAGATGTATAGTGTATAGAGCAGAGTAGTTACTACCTTCACATGTGGAAGCAGGATTTGGGGTAAAGCAGGCTCCTTGAGAAGGACCGGGGCTAGTCTGACCACTCTCATCATTTGGGTGATAGGAGCTCTACTCATGTTCTTACCAAATAGGTAAGCAAGCAAAGCACCACTATGCTAACATCACTCACACACACACACACGAAATTTATATATAACTTCAAAACTTTTTAAGCGCTTTAAATTTTTATTTCATTTTATCCTAAGAACAACACTATTTAAGAAAGTAGTACAGGTATCAGGCCCCATTTTAAAGATAAGAAAACAAATTCAAATACAATGTAACTTGTTCATATTTACATAGGTAGTAAGTGTTTTAAGTGAAATTTGAACCCAGAAGTATATTGACCACAAAGTCAATGTACTCTACAACGTATTCACCTGTGGCAGAAGATGAGAAGGTAGCAAAGTTCCATGAAAACTTAATGAGTTCTTCCAAAGCAAGTCAACGTGTACATTAATATTCACTGATTCCAATATGAAGCTGAGTAACAAGAAAGGATGGGGAAAGCATGTTGGAAGAATGGTTTAGGATTAAGAATAGTGAACTACGATAGAAAAAAGTATACTGATACATATGAGCATCCAAAGTATAGAGATAGACAAATGACTTCAAATTCCAGCTTTGCCATTCATTATCTTATGTGACCTTGAACGAATCTCTTCACTGTTTTGGATCTATGAAAGGAAGAGGCTGAACTACATGACATCTAAGATCCCTATACACCACGCCACCTAGCTGCCCCATTTTGTTTGTTTGTTTGTTTGCTTTTTTGTTAGGCAATCGGAGTTAAATGACTTGCCCAGGGTCACACAGCTAGTAAGTGTTATGTGTTGTGTGTCTGAGATCAAATTTGAACTCAGGTCCTCCTGACTCCAAGGCCGGAGCTCTATCCACTGTGCCACCTAGCTGCCCCCCTACATGATATCTAAGACTCCTTCTAAGTTCTAAAAATCTATGAACCAGGACTTCTAGGGGCAGAACCAAGATGGCAGGGTAAAGAAGCATTCAGCCAAGCTCACCCAAAATTCCCCTCCAAACAACTTTAAAATAACACCTCAAATAAAGTTCTGGAGTAGCAGAGTCAACAAAAGGTGAGAGTGAGGCATTCTTCCAACCTAAAACAACACAGGTCAGAAAAAGAGATCTGTGACACAGAGGAGGAAGCTATCCTAGAGCCCATATGGATGAAAAACCAGTGGTGGGACTAAATAAATGGTAAGGTGACCTAACAACTGGTCAGAAAGAGATTACAGGGCACCTCTGTGCTAGCACTGAATGAAGTACAGATGCTGTTTGGCAACTCTAATGCCTATATCCATGTCTGGGTCACAGTTCAAGGGCAGAGAGAAGCTCTTTCAGTGAAGAGGGAGTAGAAACCCTAAGGGCAGTGTCATTTCTGGCCCCAAGAGATCAGAGACTCTGAAGAACAGTATCATTTCTGGTCCCAAGGGAGAAAAGGCCCAAAGAAGCAGTAAAGATTACAATCCCAAGAGGTAAGGGGTCCTTCCTAGGTAAGGACCACAGTGGAGGGCAAGATAGCAGTGACCACACCTCTTCCCAGATTTTAACACCTTGGAAGCACTGAAAACTTCTGAAACACCAGAACTACCTCTGAAAACAGCAGTGCAAGAAAAACTTTGAAGCTTGAGACAGAGTTCCTCCACACAACTACCAGAAACAGCACCCAACATTAACATAAAGTTCCAAATCAAGAATTAGGGTGGAAAAATGAGCAAACAAACAACAAAAAGAACCTAATCACAAAAAAACTATTATGGTGAAAGGGAAGATCAAGAAACAAACTCAGAAGAAGACAATGAAGTCAAAACATCTACAAGCAAAGCCTCAAAGAAAAGTATAAATTAGATACAAGGCCAAAAAAAATTCCTAGAAGAGCTAAAATTTTATTTTCAAAATCAAATAAGAGTAGCAGAGGGAAAATTTAGGTAAAGAAATTAATGAAAATTATGAAAAGAGAACAGCCTGGTAAAAGAGACAAAAAAAAATACTGAAGAAAATAACACAAAACAGAACTGGCCAAATAGAAAAAGAGGCACAAAGATTTACTGAGGAAAATAACTCCTTACAAAAGCAGAAATGGCCAAATGGATGAAAAGGTATGACTACGTAAGATTTATACCAGGAATATGGGGCTAGTTCAATATTAGGAAAACCATCAGCATAATTGGACATACAATAACAAAAATTATATGATTAGGATAATAGATGCAGGAAAAGACCTTTGACAAAATACAACACCCTTTCCTATAAAAATACTAGAAAGCATAGGAATTAATTGAACCATTTTTTTTAATTTTGATGAGGCAATTGGAGTTAAGTGACTTGCCCAGAGTCACACAGCTAAGTGAGTGTTATGTGTCTGAGGTTGGATTTGAACTCAGTTCCTCCTCACTTCAGGGCCAGTGTTCTATCCACTGCGCCACCTAGCTACCTCAAGAATTTACCTTTTTTTTTTTTCGGGGGTGAGGCAATTGGGGTTAAGTAACTTGGTCAGAGTCACACAAGCTAGTGAGTGCTATGTATCTGAGGCCAGATTTGAACTCAGGTCCTCCTGACTCCAGGGCCGGTGCTCTAGCCACCGAGCCACCTAGCTGCCTCTAATTGAACCATTCTTAAAGCAAGTAGTATCCATCTAAAACCAAGAGCAAGCATCATCCTTTATGGGGATAAACTTGACGCCTTCCCAATAAGATCAGTTGTAAAGCCAGGATATCCTTTATCACCTCTATTATTCAATGTTGCACTAGAAATGCTAACCATAGCAATAAGACAAGAAAAATAAATTTGCAGGAATAAAAACTGGCATGAGTATACAAAACTATTACTGTTTGCAGATGATATGATGATATAGAACCCTTACAGAACCCTAGAGAATCAACCAAAAAAACAGTCAAAACAAATAACAACTTCAGCAAAGTTGCAGGATATAAAATAATCACAAAAATCATCAACATTTCTATATACTACCAACAAAACCCAATAGGAAGAGATAGAAAGAGAAATTCCATTTAAAATAACTGCAGACAATATAAAATACTTGCAGATCTACCTGCCAAGACAAACCCAGGGATTATATGAACACAATTACATAACACTTCTCACACAAAAAGTCAGATCTAAACAACTAGAGAAATATTAATTATTTGTGGGTAGGCTGAGCCAATAAAATAAAAATGGCAATTCTACCCAAGTTAATTTACTTATTCAGTGCCATATCAACCAAATTACCAAAGAATTATTCTACAGAGCTGGGAAAAATAGTAACAAAATTCATCTGGAAGAACAAAAGCTCAAGAATATCAAGAGTTTCAATTAAAAAAAATGTTAAAGAAGGTAGCCTAGAAATTCCAGGTTTCAAACTACATTACAAAGTGGTAATCCTCAAAACAATCTGGTACTTATGGCTAAGAAACAGATTTACAGATAGATGGAATAGATTGGGTACACAATACACTGCAGTAAATTTCCATAGTAATCTAGTGTTTGATAAACCCAGAGATCTAAGCTTTTGGGGGAAAATTCAACATTCAACAAAAATTGCTGGGAAAATGGAAAGCAGTTTGGCAGAAACTAGACACAGACCAACATCTTCCACCATATATGAAGATAATGTCAAAATGGATAAATGATTTAGACATAAAGGGTGCTATCATAAGCAAATTAGGGGAGCATGGAACAACATGCCTGTCAGATCTATGGGCAAGGGAACAGTTTAGGGTCAAACAAAAGATAGAATAGATTACAGGAAGCAAAATAGATAATTTTGATTACATGAAATTAAGAAGCTTTTGCACAAATCAAAATAATGCAGTCAAAATGAGAAGGAAAACAGGAAACTGGGGAGGTGGGGGGACATTTTGCAACAAGTTTCTTTGATAAAGGTCTCATTTTCAAAATATGTAGGGAACTAAGCAAATTTTATAAAAATAAGAGCCATTCCCCAGTTGATAAATGGTTGTAGGATATTACCAGGCAGTTTTCAGAAGAAGATACCAAAGCTATCAAGAGCACATGAAACATTTCCATAAATTACTACTGATCAGAGAAATGCAAATTAAAAAAACTCTGAGATACCATCTCACACCTATCACATCGGCTAACATGACAGAAAAGGAAAATGACAGACGTTGGAGGGGATGTGGAAAAACTGAGACACTAATGCAGTATTGGTGTAGTTGTGAACTGAACCAGTCATTGTGGAGAACAATTTGGAACTACACCCAAAACTGTCATACCTTTTGACCCAGCAATACTACTACTAGGTCTATACCCCAAGGAGATCAGAGGAAAAGGACTTAAATGCACAAAAATATTTATAGCAGCTCTTTTTGTGGTGGCAAAGAATTGGAAATTGAAAGCATGCCCATTGATTGGGGAATGGCTAAACAAGCTGAGACTGTGATGGAATACTATTGTGCTATAAGAAATGATGAGCAAGATGGTTTCAAGAAAACCTGGGATGATGTACATAAACTGAAGCAAAGAGAAACAAGCAGAACCATGAGAACATTGTACACAATAACAGCAATACTGTAAGGATGATCAATGGTGAAAGACTTAGTTACTCTGATCAAGACAGTGATCCAAGATAATTCCAAAGGATCCATAATGAAAATGCTATCCACCTTCAGAGAAGGAACTGAACTCTGTATGCAGACTGACACATACTTTTTAAACTTTCCTTATTTTTCTTCTTCTATTTTGTGTTTTCTTTTTTAACATGAGTAACATGGAAATGTGTTTGGCATGATCTCACAAGTATAATCTAAATCAAAGTGCTTGCCTTCTCAAGAAGGGGGGAGTGGTAGGAGGGAAGGAGAGAACTTGGAAATCAAAATTTAAAAAAAAAATTATTAAATGTATATACTCTTTGATCCAGTAATAATACTATTAGGTCTATAGCCTTAAGAAATAAAAAAAAAAAGGAGAAGGAGAGGGAAGAGTTTATTTGTACAAAAACATTTATAGCAGCTCTTTATGATGACTTAGCTATTCTCAGGAATACAATGATCTAAGACAATTCCAAAGGACTGATGATGAAAAACGCTATCTTCTTCCAGAGAAAGAAGTGATGGCATCTGAATACAGACCTTCTTTCTTTCCTTTTCTTTCTTTCTCCTGAGGTTTTTCCCCCTACAAAATGACTACTATGGAAATGTTTTACATGATTCTACATGTATAACCTATATCAGATTGCTTACTGTCTCAGGAAGGGATAAGGGGACGAAGGCAGGAATAGAATTTGGAATGCAAAACTTAACAATGAATGTTTAAAATTATTTTTATGTGTAATTAGAAACAAAAGAAATATTAAAAATTTTAAAATAAAAAAATAAGTATCCATTGACTGGGAGGGAAAGATTGTTAAAACTTTTATATATAATTGGGAAATATTTAATGAAATAAATAAAAATAATTATAAAAATAAAATAAAAACTTGTGAACCTATGAAGAAAGAAAAGAAGCCAAAGAATTTTAGGCTTCTCAGAAGCCTCATGACTATATATCATGAATACTTCAAGAAAAAAACCATAACATGTCTGACACAGAAAGCATTAAGCATCACAAAAAATGAAAATTACTCTTTCAATAATCAAGAAACTAGTTAGAGACGTTAGTCATTTTAGAGTTAGCGATGTGCAATTAGGACATTGATTGGTTAGAGCAAAGGTCAAAACCCAATACCAAACTAGAAGGATAAGAGACAAAAAGATGCTGTATGCAATTACAACAGCAACCCTCCCCCACAAGTAGGACAACTTGACCTGTTCCAAAACAAAACAGAAACTATCCATACTGGAAAATAGACAATGGATAAAAGGAAAAGACACTGGCTGTGTTATACCCCCCACAGAACTTTTAACAGGTATAAAATAATCACTACTAAAGAGTCCAGAAATCACTGTAGCCAGCAGACCAAAGAGACACAGCAATTAAGGATAATACAAACTTGTTTGTAAAATGTTGTAGAATATGATAAATGATCATGAGCAGTACCAACTCACACAACAGCAAAAAGTGACAAGTGAAAATGAGTATATAGAAAGCTAGGCATGATACACAGTTAATTCCAAAGAACACAGAAAGTTGAAAGCAGAAGGGTAACAAAATAGTAGAATTTTGTCTTGTTTTGTTTTGGCTTTTTAGGCAATTGGGGTTAAGTGACTTGCCCAAGGTCACACAGCTAGTTAGTGTCAAGTGTTGGGTCTGAGGCTGCATTTGAACTCAAGTCTTCCTGACTTCA